GTGGCGCTGTGGCTCAAGTGCTAGAGCGCTATCCTTGAGCTGAAGAGCTGAGGGTCAGCGCCCAGACCCAGAGTTCAGGCCTCACGACTGGACCAAAAAAAAAAAAAAAAAAGAATGGAGGGAGGGAGGGTGAGCAAGGACAGCCATTCTATTCAATGTATATTATGTACATTAAGTAGAATTTGAGGGTAGGGACCAGGAGTGGGAAAATGGGGGAGATGAAGGAAGGGGTGACACTGACCAAGGAGCATTGTCCTCATAACCTGGCTTACAGAGTTGTAGCCTTCTTTGTACAACTTCTTAATAATAAAATAACAACAGCAACAATAATAGACAAGTTTCTAACCCTGACACTACTGCCATTTGGGGCTGGTAATCATTGAGTCTTTGTTGGGTGCACCATCCTTGCCCTTGTGTTATCCATTCCCCATTAGTTGCCAGTAACAGAAATCTGTCTCTGGATTTTGCCAAGATTTGCCCTGCCTGAGCTGGCGGGGAGCGGGAGAATTACCATAGTCTGGGAATCATGATATAAAATGGGATGGAAGGAAGTACCAGTGGAAAGGGGGCTGTTTAGTAGGTTGAATTCAAAGACTCTGAGTCTGATTGAGATCAGGACTTTAGACACACTATGAAACAAATACCAGCGTGAAACTGTGTAAAATGCTAATAGCAGCTTGGGCATACAGACATATTCTAAAGACCCAGAGTCTAAAGTCAGGCTGAATTTGAATTCTTCTTCTTTTTAATATTTACTTTAGTCTGAAAGCCTTTGTCTAATTATTCTAATGACAATGAGGATTTTAACACTGATGAGAACCAATGCATAAAAATTATAAGAACAGTCTTATAATGACTATACAAGAGATACAATAGAATTCAATTTTATAATTGCACAGCTGTTCCCCGAGAAACCCCAGCCTGAAGGCCACAGCTGCTGCTGCTGTTCACTGCGCAGAAGCTGGGGCTAGGGAATGGAAGACAGGTGATGTAGCCCACACAGGGAGGCGCCAGATCCCCTGTGTTTAGATGGGGCTTTTGATTACCCGATCTTTTCAGCATGTAGAATGGGAAAGACAATTATTGTCAAGCCATCCTCCCATCTCCAGACAATTTACTTGCAAAGAGAGCTGAGATGGATCCCTGGCCACACTGTGGAAGTCCTGGCTGGCACACCTGCCAGCCCTCCCCTCTCCCCTCCCTTTCCAATTTGAACTTTACTAGACAGAGACAAAATGTAGGTCGGTAATAACTCAGGGATGGATTTAAAATAATGCATTTGTCAGCCTTAGGGAAGAGGGAAGTGTCTGGGCTGCCCCTGAGGGCAGATATCATGCAACATCTTCATGAATCTGCAATCTATTTAGCCAGCTTCCACTTGTGTCCTGTCCTCTGCCCCCAGATGTGCAGGATAGCCACAGGGTTTTAATAAGGGAGAGGAGGAAATAGCATACATGGAAGTTCAAAGGGAGAGAGTAGCCACTTTTCTGTACACAGCCAACCTGACACTGAATCATTCTTCATGAAACTCCATTACCTAGGTTTAACTGCTCCAGCTGGAATTTGGACATCAACAATTTTCATTATCTTCCTAGATGATTATTGAGCAAATAGATGTGTGATCAGGGCCCTCTGGGTGACTGTATGGGCTGTGTCCTGTGAGATTTGGTATCCACATAGTCTGTGTTATGAAAGTTATCCTCAGAGGTTCAACCCTGTGGAGGCCTAGTCAAAGAGCTAGTGACATAGAGGATAGGACTTGGAAATAACTAGCTCTCTAATAAATGATGCCTTTCTCATTTACTAAGTATGCTGAGTGAGTGCATTGCTGAGCCTCCATCTTAGCTATAGATGAACTTGAGAAGGAAAGTACTCAATCTATTTTACAAAGGTGGTGATTCCATAGTTGAGGTAGTATAAGTGTTTGGAGACAGCCTGCTCCTCAATCCATTAAAAGCCTTTGAGGAGCTACTTGGGGCCTCCTTAAAATCCAGTCCATTTGCTGGAATGGTTGCTTTGCTTCAGTAATGCAACATTTTTCTCCTGTCTGGATCCTCACAGTCCGCAAAGCTGTGCTGAAAAGATACACAACCTACTACGTGATACTTTCTAGGTCTGCAGCTATATATGAGCTGCTAAGGTGGAAATCCTTACAGCCAATATTCTCTGAGCAATTTTCAAAGCTCATTTGCATTTTCTGATTTTTTTCCTTGCTAGTTGTAATCTGCAGGATAAATAATTGGGGAAGGGTTCTGGGAATTTTTTATTGTTGAATTGTTCAGTAGGATTTTTTTTTTGCTTCTTGCAAGTAATTATTGGAATTCTGCCTTACAAAGTAAGCTTTCAATTCTGGTGACAGAAATTTTTAAAAAAATCTTAATTGGTATTTGAGTTAATGCCTAGGGATTTGTGCTAGTGAAATAAATAATACTTGAACATAAGTCTTAGACCCACATCGAGAGGAATAAGAGACAAATTTCTATTGTTCTCAGTTTCTGCTCAGAGTTGAAGGCAGTGGTCAAAGGTTTCTTGTGATGTTTCAATTGCTTAGCCAACAATTTAAGCAGATTAGCTGAGCTGGCAACTGTCAGCCTTTAATTATGCACTGAATTAAATAATGATTGGTGGAGCCGACTTTGTGATTGATTAATCAATTATGTATAATGCCTATGCATTGCCATTTAACATGAATCCACCTTGTACATCAAAATTCATATGACTCCCCCGAGAGCTGCCAGCTAAAAATACGGGATACATTTATGTTACAAAACGATTAATTGTTTATCTACAGTTCAGATTTTTGTTTCCTAAATCTAGTAAGCCTTGACAGAAATGATTTCCTCCCTTCTTTTTTTTTTTTAGTGTTGCAAATCCATAAATACCTTCAATGCCCTGTGCGATGAGGAGGCCAGCTAACAGAGGCCAAGGACAAGCTCTCTACCCTTTCTGGCTGTTGAATATTTCCTTACTTCCAGGTCTCCAGCACAGGAGACAGTGCTGGCCTTTCAAGCTCTACCTTCCTGCTTCCTTTCCAACTGGCACTGAATTGAACTGAGGCTCAGTCAAACACTTAACTCTGCAGTGAGGTAGCTGAACTAAGTGTCTCCAATCTGTTGAATAGAAGTGGTTGCACAAAGAGGACAAATCAGGGGAGACCTATAGTGATGATGGGTCCTTTACTGACTCCTTGGTAAACCCCAGGTATGACACAGGTTCTTTGTATGTGCCAACTTTTAGTCCTTCCACTAGAGGACTGTCTGGCTTTCTGTCCCCCAATCAGGACAATTGAAGCTCAGAGAAAGCAAGCACCTTGTCTGAGGTCCCATTTTAGAAAGTTGTCAAGTGGGAGGCTACCACCTCTTCCAGAAATGGCTCCTACACAGAGGTGGTCCTCAGCGATGGGTGATCTTAAACCCCAGAGGACACTGGACAGTGGCATGGAGAGTAGGCATCTTTATAGGGAGGGATAGAGGGTGCTGCTTGCATCTCCTGGGTAGAGAGGAGGGATACTGGTGGGCACTGTAAAGCGTATGACAGTCCCTACAAACGGGTTATCTGGCCCCCATATCAGCAGCGCTGGGGTTGAAATGGCCTGCTAGAGAAAGAAGGCAGGTGAAGGAAGTAGAAAGGAGTTCATGTTCTTATCGCATGTGGTGGGCTTGTGTCCAGGGCAGTCCCTGACTTCTGGGGTTGTCAGAACGGAGCTGGTGAGAGGCCAGCACAAGAAGAAAAGGGTTGGACTCCCACCCATGCATTGCTTACCACAGGAGATGGTTTCTTGACAATTTCTCTTGCCTTCTCTAGTGTGAATTCCCATGGCTCCTACAAAAGCAACGTTAGGTGACATTATATTTCATGCTCAATCTTTATAAGTTCTTTTCCTTAAAGTCGGGATTATTATAAAGTCTACAAAAAATAAATCATCTCACAAATTGGTGATAATCCATAAGAGGGCAATGTCGTGTGAGTAGGTGCCTTTGTTATAACTATGAGCCAAATGCTTTGAAAATATTGTTTTGTTTCATCATTATAATAGCCCTCAAAGATATGAGCATGGTATAGATGTCCTAGGAAATGGGGATGCAGAAAAGTTGAGACACAAGTTTGATGTTCTATGATTCAATTCTACCAGAGGTAGATTCTGCACTTTTGCTTGGTGACAGCTGTGTTCCTCTGATGCCCCTGGGTAACCTGTCCTCTGTCTGAGCCCCACCAGCAGAAGGCTGTCCACCACAGGCTCTAGTGGCCTCTATCCCAGCACCAAGGAAAGGCCGGTCACTGCCATTTGAGCACAAATTCCATTTCATTCACACCCACAGCCTCCCCTCCTTGCCTGAGAGCATCTTCCATGTGTATGTACATTGCAAATATAAAGAATTACTCATCATTACTAATTGCAGTTGGTAATAATGGATTAAGGACCACTTTGTTTAAATGTTTGCAAGAGGCCAGGTGATGGGATGGGATGGAGAGGGGGAGAGGTAGGTAAGGAGTGGGGGCTGGGACTACAAAGAAGCACCCCAACCCCATCCATCCCCCACAGAGGGGGTCAGAGCACACAAGGGAATGGACAAGGATCCCAACTCATGCTGTGACTCAGGGCCTACTTCCAAATTCCAGTTACAACGACCAGCAGGAAAACCTGGGCTTCCACTGGAAAGGGGAGGAGGACAATGGGAAGCCTGAAGCCCTTCTGGAAGACATGGTTTGGGCCATATGAAATGCACAGGGGGGCTGCTTGGTTTTCAGCACATTACTGTGCACTAAGGGAAGGGATCCTAGGGGAAGGCACCAGAAGACCTGAGACTGGGGGGCAGGTGAATTGTAGTGCTACAGAGAGGGGAAGAGAACCCTCAGATCGCATTTGCTGCTAGGGCCACTGTGGCACCCATGGCTTCACCCTGGTGAGGCCTGCCTGGTGACTCTGGATAGCATTGGTGATGAACTTCCTGCTGCTGGGTTTCATATAAGACTGAAAAAATAGCAGAGACTGTATCCAGTGAAAAAGTGAAGGAGTGGAAGAAAGTTCCAGAAGCCACTCCTGGCCCCACTTTTGAGCACTACCCAAGGAAAGTCCTCACCTGGCTGATTTAAGATAACTGTAATCACAAAGACAAGGATCATTGAGATGTCCTTGGGTTCAGGGTTGCATGAATAAGTTCATGATTTGACTCCAGATGTGGAATAGCTATGTGTAGGTGCTAGGAGCACAGGGAAACATGAAGGAAACGGTTTGCTTCCCATAGGGCCTCTCAGAGGCCTTGCAATGTGAGTTCAATCTCTCATCAATCCCAGAAAGTTTACAATCTCCCCGCTTTACATCAAGTGTTCCCAGAGACAAGGTGGCTCAGCTGGGATTTCACAGTTGGGGGAAGGGAGCGAATCTCATGCTTTGCTAAACCTGGAGCTTTCAGGCTTCAGAATTGTGGTGCTTTCTTCTCCTCTATAGTGTCCTTAATAAGAAAATGGAGTTTCTAGACTATGAGGGTAGACCCTGGATCTAGACATTAATGATTATAATAATTGGCACTTTTATTTTAGGTTGTGGTGTTACTAATACACAACTGGAAAAATTCCAATAATTACCACAACAACCTACACAAATTATGCTCTTTTCTCAGTATTCTGAAGCTGCTCTGAGAAGAAATATATGCAACATATAAATGAAATGAGAAATTGAGAGCCAGAAAGATGATCCAATTTAACCAGGGCTCCTCAGCAGACAGATAAGATTGATACTCAAGTTTTGAGACCTCAGCCACTTTGCCACCAAGCCACACAATTTTCCAAGAATGAAGTAAACCTGACATTTTAATCCAAGCAAGAGATTATGACTCAGGAGCTTTTGCCAAGACCTTGGAAAATAGCAAGCATGGCTCCCAGAGGGCAAGGATGGTTTGATACAAAAGCTAAGATGATCAAGACAGGGAGCTCACTGTGTGTGTCAAGAAGACAAACATCTGGCTGGAAATTTCATGGCAGCAACTGTATGACTGATAATGAAAAGAGAAAGAGACATTCTTTCTATCAGCCATTTCCTCATGTGGTCATTCATTCCATTTATTCATTCCACAAATCATTTACTGAGTATATATTCTATGTTTTGCCATAACTTGTTTGCTAGGGACATAGTCTTTATAATCTGGGGAGTGAAGACCTGCAGTAAACTATAATTAGAATACAGCATACAATATGTTAAGTTATAGAGACTAGTCTTCCTTTTTTACAGATGAGGTAAACTGAAGCTTAGAGTAAATAAATGACTTGCCATAAGTCACAGAGTCAATAAGCACATGATCCAGGTGTAATTTAGACTTCTTTGGCAGATGATCCATGCTCTTTGCCCTGTTCATGAAGATGCTAATAGGTATGGTAAAGAATATACTTAGAACTCAAAAAACTATATCCCCCTACAATAAATCCTCAAAGAAACAACTGCCAGATAAATAAGTGGGCTAAAGATTTAAAGAGAAACTTCCCTGGAGTTGGGAAGGTGGCTCAGGGGTAGAGCGCTTGCCTTGCATCCATGAGGCTCTGGGTTCAATTCCTCAGCACCACATAAGCAAAAGGATAAAAGCCGAAGTGGCGCTATGACTCAAGTGGTAGAGCACTAGCTTTGAGCTGAAGAGCTGAGGGACAGCGTCCAGGCCTAGAGTTCAGGCCCCATGACTGGACCCCCCCCACCCCCAAAAAAGAGAAACTTCTCTGAAGAAGAAATAAGAATGGCCAGTAGACACATGAAGAAATGCTCAACTTCTCTAGCCATAAAAGAAATGCAAATCAAAACAACATTGAGGTTCTCACCCCCGTTAGAATGGCTATAATCAAGAAATCTAATAACAGGTGCTGGAGGGGATGTGGCCAAAAGGGAACCCCACTGCATTGTTGGTGGGAGTGTAAACTTGTTCAACCACTTTGGAAAGCAGTATGGAGGTTCCTCAAAAGACTCCACATAGAGCTCCCCTATGACCCAGCAATCCCACCTTTGGGCATTTACCCAAATTATCACAAACAAGACCACACTAAAGCTACCAGCACAACTATGTTTATTGCAGCATTATTTACCATAGCTAAGATATGGAACCAACCCAGATGCCCCTCAGTAGATGAATGGATCAAGAAAATATGGTATATATACTCAATGGAATTCTATGCCTCCATCAGAAAGAATGACATTGCCCCATTTGTTAGGAAATGGAAAGACTTGGAAAAAATTATATTAAGTGAAGTAAGCCAGGCCCAAAGAAGGTCCCATGGTTTCCCTTATTTGCAATAACTAGTATATGTCTAGGAGAAGCAGAAAAGGTCAAAAGCTATGCACATATGACCATATAAGGTGATGTTAAGTGAAATGATAGGGACACAATTGCTTTTTTCTTGCTTGCTATTGTTTTTGACATATTTAAAATGTGGTATGTGATTTTTTTTCTATGTTCTTCCCCCATGGTATAACCCATTTTCACTGTATTTGATGTCAGTGCCCTACATCTTGTATATAGATTTTTCTAATTTGGGGAGGGGAAAGGAAATAGCAAAAAGGTGAAATAAGGATACAGGTTGACCCATTGTAACAATGAGATGTACAAGACACTACATTGAAAATGAACTTTACAATTTGGGGGGGAGAGGAGTTGGGAAGATGGGGTAGGAAGGGATGATAGGAGAAAAACGAAGGAGAAGGTAACAATGCTCTATAGGACATGTACTCATTACCATACTCATGTAACTGTAACCCCTCTGTACAGTATTTCTACAATAAAAACATGAAAAAGGGAAAACTTATTTTTGTTCTAAGTTTTAAAAAAATATGTGGGGGCTGGGAATGTGGCCTAGTGGTAGAGTGTTTGCCTAGCACACCTGAAGCCATGGGTTTGATTCCTCAGTACCACATAAACAAAAACAGCCAGAAGTGGTGCTGTGGCTCAAGTGGTAGAGTGCTAGCCTTGAGCAAATGAAGCTCAGGCCCAGAGTTCAAACCCTAGGATTGGCAAAAAAAATATGGGAAATCTGAGAAATAAATTCTCCTCTGTAAAAGCTATGGGACACATTCACATATTTGAGGCCTTAAGCCACTGTGTAGAAATGACATCTTTTGGATTTCTCAAACACTCAAAGCTTCTAAGGAAATGCATTCAGGCTTATTGGTTAGGGTGGGAAGCATATGAGGAAAATGATATACAAGAATTCTTTGGGGACTTGGTATCATGTACCCTGATAGTTTAGGAAGAGTCTTGTTAAATTGGACACATTCCCTAGTTTGTCCATCATGTCTGACATTTGAAAGATGTCTGGGACTCTTAGGTATAAAGGAAGGAAGAAAAAACAGTACTGTAGGCATGAGTTTAACTAGTCAGTAATTTTTAGTTGAGATCAAGATCTTTGTTATCAATGACAGCAATAGAGATTAGCAATGTACAGAAAGTGCTTTGTGCCTACTTCGCTCTCTTGACCGCAGTGATGGGTTCCCATGAAAGCTTTTTCTTTTTTTTTTCTTTTGTCAGTTGTGGGGCTTGAACTCTGGGCTTGGGTGTTGACCCTGAGCTCTTCAGCTCAAGGCAAGCGCTCTACCACTTGAACCACAGCACCATGTCCAGTTTTCTAGTACAGACAAAGGGCATTAAGCCTATTAAATCAAGACAAAAGCAAAAATTTCCACTGCTTATACGTTTTTTAAATCAAGTATTGGCATATCTGGCCTTTGGGTGGAATTTGCTGGTCTATTTTTGTATCTGTGCTCTACAGCATCTTAGAGTGGCTATTTTCTAATACCCAGGATTTAGCTCTATCAAAGCACAATTTGATTTTCAGGTTCTGATATTTTC